ATGCCGATTTTTTGAAATTTTTTGACATGTCAATCGAGTTTGTCAATGAGAGAATCTGTTGAAAACTTTGGCCGCGATAACAACGCCGATATTATGCTTTTCTGTTTACGTACTTCTGCTTTCCGTTTACGGTCGATGCCACCGTGGTTGAGTGACTCATTTACAAGTTAATGAAGTCTGGATTCCCAGTTTGCTCGTTAATTCTCATGCTTTCCGCGAGCGAACCGTCTCTTTCTTGGTATCCCGACAATTCGTCATTACCTGCGGCTAACGTTGAAGTCTGTCGAAGGAAGGATGGGTCTTGTCGTTCTTGTTGAAGACTCGAACAGCGATCTTTCAATTAGCATCTCTCCGAACGGTGGAAACTCAAACGGGAAACACCCCTGCAGAATCCCACGAAGACGTCGATCCCTCTCTCGATTAGTTAACTTTGATACTCGAGATTTTCGTCTTCGAGATTCGCGCCAATCTTGTCAAGAACATGGAATTGTCACATCATATTCGGTGACGTTCTTAAGCTCCATATTCGATGTTTCGCGAGCTTCAAGGAATCATCACGATGATATCGAGCAATACACTCGATCTTCTTTTCATGAAGAGAATTTTTGTCGCCAAACTCGCGTTTATTCGCGCTGTAGCAGTTCGTAGAGCGCGGCGATATAAGTCTGCGCCATTTGCAGCGTCTCGAACTTGCTGAGCTTTCTATCATTGCCCAGACTGGGCACGACGTCCCGTAGTCTGTCGAAGGCGTCGTTCAGACTATTCATTCTTCTTCTCTCTCTGGCATTTGCCGCCAGTCGCCTCTTCCTCAGTACCTCGATGCCGGGCGTGCTGTTCTTCATCTTCTGCACCGCCGCATCCTTGGATTTCTGCCCTTGGTATTCCGCTGGCAAAACGTGGAGGCTGTCGTTTCTCTGATGATACCTCGACTGATCGCATTTGCCCGGCTGACCGTTCACTAGGTTAGCTTCATTCCTCGGCACGTTATAAGCGGCGCCTAGATAAAGAACATCCGTTCTCTGAGCGTAAGGGTGACTTTCGTTCCGCGGATGATAGATACCGTTTTTTACGTAGCTTTTCGTGGCGAAGAAAGCCTCCTGATTCTGGCCAAAGTCGGTTCTGGAATTTGCAAACATCCCGACTGGATGATGATCCATTTTTTGAATGTATCCTGCCGGCTCTTGCTTGTTTACGGTACTCTCGTTAAAAGTCATCCTGGACGTTGCGTCGTCGTAAGATGTGCACTGTTCATTCATTCTGTAAGTCACCTTGGCGTGATGATCTTTGATATTCCTGGCGCCGTTAACGTTCAGTGTTGACTGATGCTCGTTCCGACAGCCACCCTCCTGATAATATCCCTCGTAGAAGTCGCCGAAATTGAAGCCAGCGGTCACGTGGAGGCTGCCATTTGGAACGCTACCGATCTCTTGGTACTCCTGCTGGTGGTGGCTGTCTACGGAGCTAACGCTGCCGCAGCTGCTACCCCTGGATCGCGGCGGCTGCGGATAGATCTCCTGGTGATGCCAATTGCCACGCGGATTCGATTCCGGGCTACTCGCCGACCCGTAGCCCTCGGAGTCCAGGAGATCGTATTGCTGGAAGGCCGCGTAAGTTGTCATTCTCGTGTGTGCGCGTACCGGATGATTGATCCTCGGTTCTACCGGCGACCTTATATCATAATCTTCGGGGAGACCGATCTTCAAAAATCGCCTCAACCGATTGTCATCGCCTTTTTCGCAGAATTCTTGCAACGTTTGATCGATGTCAATGCGAATCCTTGTCGTCAGGGATGATCTCAAAAATGTAGATTTAAAACGTAGGATATCTCGGGAACGTATGGGATTACGTTCGTCAGCTTTCACGTCCGGCTTCCGTATGAGACCTTCCGCCGTGTATGCTTCGTGTACGGAAGCGTTGCGTAAACTGACTTTACCTGACGATCTCGTGGTCTGGACCATGCCGTCCGGTTTTCTTGAGGCCCCGCTGGTAGGGGAAACGGCGAGACTGACGGACGCGGAGTCCCGGGGCCCACGTGGAAGGGGATCCCCGAGGAGGTGGAAGGAGTCCACTGGGAAGTGGGCATCTCTTTGTAGAAGCCGCGCGACCGGACACGCCCCTCGTCTTCCTTCGTCTTCTCTTCGCTGGGGGCTCCTCTCGGGGCCCTTTTCGCGTCCGGAGTCAAAAGGCGATCGCGAGGCGGTGAGAAGAAAAAAAGGAAAGCGCCCCGATCGAGCGGCACGCACGGTCACGGGATCGACCGGGCGTCGCGTTCTTGACATTGGAGATATGTGGCCGTCGTGTCGGCCGTCGAGCTACGGTTTCACATCCCCGCGTTTTCCTCCCTCTCCCATTCTCGCGCTAATTGGATTTTATTTAGCCTCTTTTTTGCGCGACACTCTCGCAAAAATCAGTGACATTTTAATTCCACGATAACGTATGACTTCTATTTAATATTTCACGTTTTATTTAATAATTATTTTTGCTCCTATCGGCTCATTATCTTTATTAAAGTGATTACATTTAATTAATTATTGCTGTTTCTTATACATATATAATTATGAAACTAGCAAAGGAGATTAGAAGAAAGAAATGTAAAATTTTTCTTGCATAATGTTGAAATGATTCTCGTGACATTTTTAACTATCAATATATCATATACACACAATGAGAACACAGGTGTTATATTAATGGATATGTGGTACGCATATGGAATACAATACGTTTCGCAAGATCGAAGCGAAAATCATTTTCTTGCGAAACTTTCCAGGTCGCTGATGTCAAACGCGAACTAGGGAAAGCATTTGGTACGTCTGGTAAAAACCTATTAAAACTCACACATGGAAATTATAAATGATATTAGTAAAACTTTCTTAATATAGGTCTTTATTGAATTACGTGGATACGTATAAAAATAAACGTGGCTAACTGACACTAATTGATAGCGCAATCATTTCGTTAAAACTCGAGTGTTATGATGCGACGAGAGGGAAAATCGACAAGCGAACGTTGGCTACAATTATTAATAGTGTCAAAATATGTGCACGTTAAAAATTCACTGCAGAGTGTAAAATATCTGGATTTTAAAATACATCATGACGTAACGCTCTGTATCATTGCTGGAGGCGTATGTTGGCAAAATATTTTCTCGTAGCTTTAATTGGTCGCTGTTTACCTGAAGCCGTCAGCTTCTATTTTTTTTTTTCGGACCCCGTGCCGTACTTTACAAGACTACCGGACCGAAAAGTGTGAACAGCTTTACGAGGCTTTCAAATTGTTCACGTGCTCTTTGAAATCTTTTCTTAAACAATCGTGTAGAATAGCTTTGAGACTCGGAAAAAAGAAAGATGATCTTTGATATATCGATATAAATTTTAACGACATAGATAATAAACACAGTAGTCGATAATTTAATTGATATTTAATGTAGATCGATTTTTACAAATAATATCTTGAGTGTTCTTATCTTTGTAAAAATATATTTCTAACATTATCTTTCGAAATATCTACTTTTTTAAAGATAAATGTCGAGAAAGATATAACTAAATTTTACAAAGTTTTTGATAATATTTACAATAAGATTTTCATTATATATCATACGATTGCGAGATGTTTCGTAAGGCGCGCGTTTATGCGCGCTCAATAAATAGTATAAAGTAAATGTATGAAGAATGACGTCTTTGAGATCGCACTGGCTTTCGGAATTATCGATAATTAGGCTATATTATGGTGCAGTTTAGCGTATTTGAGAAGCTGATTAAATGCATTGTGTCAATATCGGGTACCAGCAGGGGTCGTGCCGCAGAAACATCTTTATTGACGAATCCTATTTGAAGTGTCTATTTTTGTGATACCAGTAAAACTAGTCACGGTGGGCTTATGCTTGACCTTGTCGTTTCATTTGGAGCCGCGCGATCAATCTTTCGAAACGTCACAAAGCAATATGCCACATGGCATTCACGCGTAAACGTAGGTACCTAAATTATTGAATGTTTAAATTTCGACTTTATAATACAAACGACAATTTTGAATTTTGTTATGCTTTTTATTGCGACGCGAGAATCTATGCGATTTAACCCATCTGTTCCTGAAGGAAAAGCGGATTCTGTTCACAAGAAAAGTTCAGGGCGCGGAGGTTTCCACAGGCGTATTTCCATTTTCCTTCTCTCGTTTTTCGGGAATTTGGAGTCATTCTCGCAAAAGGCGGTGAGCAGCTTCAAAAAGTTCATTATCCTTCACTAATACGCACCAAATGAGCCGGTCGCGCTTGCCCGTCCCAAAGAGGGAAAGGAACGGTCGTGTCTCGATGAATTCGAAGGGTTTACGCCCACTGGCGGATTTTAATTTACCAGAAACTCTTTGCGGCTTGTACAACACAGGCTGTTAATTGTGAGGAAATCTTGAGTTTTCATAAAATATACTTTAATTTTTCTAAATCAAAAATTTTACAATTGGTTAATCGCGTAAATTGCGCGAACTGTTTTTTTTTTCAATAGGGCGACACAAATCTAAAAGAAAATCTCAAACAAGTTGTCGAACACATAACTTAAAATAACTATTATTAATCTGTGTCTATCAATGTCAGAATTAATGATGGATTAGAGATTTCAATTGATTTGCGAACAAGAATAAGTAGCGTAAATTAATACAAGATTAGAAATATTATAAATCACGAAAACGACACATTTCCATTATCGCGATAATGCGTTAAAATAATAATAACATTGACTGGTAAAAAGACGCAGCTACATATTTACGTTCACTATTCACGCGGCGATGACTCCTAGTCACAAGATGGGGTCCTCGCAATCAAATTGCCATTATGTAATTATATAACAAAGACTAATGAGTTCTCGCGCGCGATGATTTCGTATCCAACAAACCCGCGCGTGATTGCGCCGGGCGCAGGATCATCAATCGATCGATCCATCGACACCATCGCGTTGTCCATCAAATGCGATATTACATCTCGCGCGAAGAAGGCGACAAACGCATGCGTCACCCGATATTGTATCAATGTGTGCGAGGGGTTCGCGTGATCTAGGGAACTATTTATAGATCTCTGTACCGCGCAGATTCGATCGATCCAGGGTCGGATTGAGTCGGCAAAAGATGCGAGAAAAATCTGATATTTTATTATTAATTTTTTTTTTAAATGAGAGTTGATAAGTGTCCACGTTTCTTTTCTTATGACGCGACATGAGTAAAACCTGGATATAATTTATTTTGTCTGGTTTTCGGATCTATACATCGCTATCTTTTTGTCGCAAGCTATAAGATCTCCTCTTTTTATCCGATCCTGGATCGATTCGCCGTATAGTACAGGCTAATGCGGTGGCGGTGACGGCTGCGGCTAATAACAAATTTATTGCGGCCGATGAAGTGCATAAATTGATTATTACTAGTCGGGCAACGCATCTCGCTGCCGCCGCCGCCGCCGCCGCCGCCGCTGGAGTTCCAGTTCAGACAATCACCGATGATTTACAACATAATGGCCCGCGTTTGACTGACACGGACTTACTCTCGCGCGACTATTCGCGCGTACGCGCGGTGCGTTTGCGGCCTCGGCTAACGTACGTACGGTTACCTGCCTCCAGCCGCAAGTTACAACGGCGATTCCAAAGATTTTCCCCGAGCTCTCAACTCGATGAGGGATGCGCGGCGTCGTCGTTTGCGCAAGAATACACGCTGACGGCGACGAATAATTTGAATATCTGCATGCATGGAGAAGGGAAAGTTGCAAGTCGTGTGTAAAATTGTTACAATTGTTATTGTTAGTATTTATACAATATGTGACGTATCCTGTTCTCTTCCCCTCCCTTCCCTTCACACACATACTCTTTTCTTTATATCTCATTTAAAAAATTGTTTTATAAATTGTAAATTAAATTTTTCTCTCATTCATATCTTTTTTTGCCTCTATCAGAATGTTTCACATTTTAATCTATAAAATTCGTTTCTATTGGTTTTATCGGTTGTATTAATCGTTTTCTGCATCCTTATATCTTTTTTTTTTTTTTTTTTTAACAACTCTCATTCATATCTTTTTTTGCCTCTATCAGAATGTTTCACATTTTAATCTATAAAATTCGTTTCTATTGGTTTTATCGGTTGTATTAATCGTTTTTGTACCTTTTTTTTTTTTTTTTTTTTTTTTTTTAACAACGTTTATTGTCTGGCCGATTGATTATATAGTGGTCGTAGGTGATTCGATTTTCTAAACGATCCTAAGATTCGACTCCTCAGGGTTCATCCAAACATGACCCTCGTACGAGCTGGAGATTTATGGGGAGCTAAGACCCTTAATTAGAATCACACCCAAGGTGCCCTAATTACAGGTTAGACTATGGCGCTAACTCGGCTCGTCAAAGCTGCATCCACGGCGCAAAACGCGATTCGCGCCAATTTCTGGCTGTTTACCGACAGGTCGTTAATTGTAGGAAAAACGGACGGCAACCGGTGTGGGCGGCGATCGTTTTCGAATTTACATTTGATTAACTGCCCGGGGTTTTTCCGAAGATTACCTGCCGCGTATCCTTTCTCTCCTTTCTTCTTTCATCGTTTCTTTTTCGTAGAAAAGAAATATTATTTACATTTTTATATCAAAAAGATTTAATTTATT